ATATATATATATATATATATATATATATATATATTTCTTTTTTTTTTTTTACCCAAAAATGGGCTACCTTCGCACCACCACTCTGGTAGATGAGGCTGTGGACCCCTTTTGCTGTGCAGCGGAGCGTCATATCTGTAGTTGAGGCAGTCACAGTGGAAGACATGGGCTGACTCAAACCTCAAACATGATGGATAAAAAAAAAACTAAACGATCAATATCTTTTGCTGAACGTATTCAGCACTTGCTTTTATATTTATGCATTTAATTTAGATAGCTGGGAAAAACATTGCATTATATAGTTATTTGCAATATCCTGATAATACCGTATTGTGACCCAAGTATGGAAAATAATATCTGGTGGCCAATACTTTCCTGGATATCACAGTCAAATCAAGTTTGAAAGATTAATATTGTGACGACCCTAAACACCAGTTTATACAACATTCCATACCCTTTACATTTCTGCATGTTTTAAAACACCAACTCTAACCTTTTCTCTTTTATATTGTCAAATCCTGACCTTTTTAAACAGACCAACCATTTTTAGTCAATTCTTTACAAAGATACTCAGCAAGTCAGATTTGACATAACCTTCAGACTTTAACTTTTAAAAGCTATCATATTTTTTATCCACTTTACATTCAGAAACCACCTTCTGTATGTTTCTTAGATAAAATCACAAAACATTCCATTAAAATTATCATATTGGGGTTTTTTGCGGCCACATTCTGAAAATGCCATCGCCTGAACTGTACCTGGGCTGCTATGCAAATGTGTCACGGAAGTTCAGCCGACTAACATTTGATAAGACGCTTTCTGACGGAACATGATGCAAAGTGAGGGATGCAAAAAAAAAAACAACACCTCAGGTAATTTAGGATCATTGGTTCACTTATGCAGCCTCAAGTCAGAGGAAACAAGTCTGAGGGATTAAGTACAGCAGGCAGAAACAGATGCTGGTGATCTGCAGAAACTAAATTGCTTAAAGAGGAATTTCTCTCTGCTGACACTGAGTGGGTCTGGTTGCTTAACAACCTGAAGTTGATTTTTAATAAGGATGATTTTCTTTCTTAAAGTCATTTTGTTGTCTCGTGTGGCTGCTCCATCTTTCACAGGTTTGATGTGCCGTATCCATGGCGATGCCATGCTCTTGCATCCTCTCCATCAGCGTCCTGGAGGACTCTGCTGAGTGTGGAGTTTTTGTTGTCCACGTCTACTGCGGCGAGCCTCTGCTGCTGCAGTTCTGGAGCACCAAGGCCATGTTCTCTAACGGCCAGGTGGAGCAAATGGGTGCGAGCTACAATACGCCGACGCAGATGGATTTTCTGCTGCAAGTCGTGCGCCGTGTACCCAACCTTCCCAACAGCCACTACTGGGGGCCGTTCGTTTTGGAGCTGTGCCTAGATGCCCTGCATTTCCGTTTCCAGCTCCCAGCTCAGGTTAAATGTGGTGTTGATGTACAACGCGTCATGAAACAATACGGTAAACTAACACTGCTGCGAAGAGACGCTTAATCTGAGGAGATCCTAACAACATTTTAGAACAATCATTTAGTTTAGGACTTGTTGATACCTTCAGCTTGGAAAATCGGCCAGTGTTATACACATCTATCCATTTTTTATTTATTTCTATAGTTAAAGAAATTGCTTAAGATGCACAAGAGCCAACACAATGGTATTTCCAACTGAAAATGCAATTCTTTCTATCCTTTCATCTTAAGGGGGTCTCTCATTATGACTTTTCATTTTTTTATCTCATTAAGTTAACATAAATGATGCATAGCTTAGTATTAACACACGATCATGGAAATTCCTCTAAAACATGCATTTAGCTGACAGAGCAATCCATTTAGAAGAGTAATTATACTAAAATTGTATTTAAAAAAATATACAAATATTTTTCATTTAAGACAAAAAAAATCTTTATATGTCAAAATGCCCTATCCAGAACTCAAGTTTCTATGGTTTACCAGGTTTAATTCTGTAAAAACTCTTATTTTAAGTAACCTTTTACTATCAGATTATTAATTCGATGAATCGAAAGAAATTAGCAAAGATTAAACGATTAGAAAAATAATAGTTTGTTGCAGCCCCAAACTAAATCTTAAATGATTTAAATAAAATATTTTTTATAGCAAATGTTTGAGAGCAGACTTTTTTAGGATGTTGAAATAGGTTCTTTCTTTATTTCAACATCAAAAGAAACATTTCTGCCAATCATTGAAGCTATTAATGATACCAATAATGATTTACTCAGAGTTGCATTCATATGGAAATTATTGGCTATACAGAGTAAAGCTATGTAAAAACATAGTGATGTTAAAAACCTGGAAATATTACTCTAATTTGTGCTGTATTGATTTAATGTGTTGTGTTTAAAGTTTACATTTTATACATTTGAGCATCCAATTTTCCGGAGGGGGGGGGGTATATATTCCAACTATATCATAAGTATAGTAAGCAAATCTATAAAAAATTAAACAAAGGTTCATATGAATGTGTCGAGCTTGAAAGGCAGATTTTTAAACCAAAATATATTTTAAAACATGATGCATTTTCATCCTTTTTTTGGAGAATTCCTGCTCCTTTAGAGATCCAGGCATGTTTTTTTAAAATGCTTTTCAGATTAGATTTCAATTTTAAGCTTTAAATTTGTGGAGTTTTTAAAAGTAAACCATGAGATTTGGTAAATAGTTTGCCAGAAGTCAGGCTTTGAAAAATGAAACCATAAAATAACAAACCGAGAGTATCGAGGTAGACTGCAAGTGAACACAATCTGCAGGGACTATTTCAAGTTTAGTCTTTCACATACACTTAGCTGTCCCCTAAACACACTTTAAAATGTTGGATTACTGTCAGAGTTTGTGAAAACAACCTTTTAACTCCTGTCAGTGGTGTCTTCATTATATATCTCCATATAATCAGTTAATATGCTTAAAGTATGGAATGTGCCTGAATGTTAAATATGTCAAAGTTTTTCTCTGACTGATTGTATTGATTTAGAAATTAGAAAAGCTATTAAAATTGTTTATAATGTATAGGTTCTTATATAAAAACTGACTCTGGAATGTGTTGCACTATGATATGTAAGGATGTTTCATAAAACAAATAAATGTGTGAAAGCTGGATGTCATTGCTGATTTCTCTTATCAGCCACGTAGAGAAACACAGCCTATAGTTTTCATCCCTACCTGTTAGATCTTTCCAGAAGACCAACCTAAATATCAATCCTGTAGCGTTTCCATTTCATGCTCTAATGTTCGTAAACTTTCCAGAAGTTTATTTTCCCCTATAGCCTCAACCTGCTCAACATGACTCAGCAACTATTTCAAGTAAGTATGTTAAATTTTTTTTTAAATCAGTTTCGACTCCAGTGTTATCCAAAGTGAAAAGCCATTCAAAGATTGTAGCCTGACACCAATTCCTTCAAACACAGAACGACCTTCGGGTTAAACAGCAGCTGCATGCTGAGATTCCCTGTAGGCTAAGCCGAGAAACGGGACACGCCGAGAAACCCGTTTCATGTCTGGTTCACTGAAAGACGATGGGGGGAAAAAAGCCCCTGGAGCAGAGAAAGGTCTTCAATCCCTTTAATAAAGAGGCAGCTTTTCATTCCTTTATCCACTGCATATCACTGATTAATCTGGATGGATGGATGGATGGATGGATGGATGGATGGATGGATGGATGGATGGATGGATGGATGGATGGATGGATGGATGGATGGATGGACAGACTTCATAGGAAGCCTGTCTGAGAGGCATCTAAGCATTCAGTTCAGACTCTGTTGTTGCTACAGTGAAAGTTCAGTTCTCAGCTTTGTTTAACTGTACAGAGAGAACAAGCTCTATACGGCTTTCTTTTTCTGAAACTGTGGTCTCCAACGCCCACTCAGAACAGGCCAAGCACCGAGGCCTGCTATGCACGTCCGCCCAGAGACAAACCACAGCGACATCCATGGCCTGACCACATGGCTATAATAGAGGGCAGAGCCCGGGCTGGTTTATGATGAGCCGGGCACACCATAAGTCATTGCGGTGAGGAAAATGATAGAACAACAGCAGGAAAGAAAAGCAAAAGACAAGAGAGAACGTGTTACACAAAGAGCAGAGCAACAAGATACCCACCATCGTAAGTAAAATGAGATCCATCCTTGAAGACCACGACTGCCGGCAGCTCTGACAAAGACACAGACTGATGGAAAAATAGAGAAGCCCAGATTAGATCTTTTTTTTTTTATCCAAGATCTCCTGAACATTATTATACTCCATTTTCTAGGTCAATTTAACACTATAAAGCAAAGATTATAATTGTTTTCAAAAGCTCACAAAAGAAACACTGTAAAAACCCCAATGCATGCTTTAAAACTGATCACTTATAGGTTACCTTTAAAGGGACAGTTTATAGTTTCTTTAGTGAGGATTCACTGTAAAACCGAAATAGGTAAAGTTTCTGGCAGAAATATATATATATTCCTAGAGATTTCTCATTTTGTTAGGTAGTAACTACAAGTTCCAATGCCTTTAATGTGGAGTTTTCTATTGTAAATAAACAGCAGTCGGTGCATTATGACTGCCTCCGGTTGTTATTCTGCAAAGGCTAAAAATAATAAGATTCATCTGACCTACCAAAGGGAAATAAACCCAAATATTCTTCAAAGCATTCAGGCTCTTATTTATAAAGAATATGTCCAATAGCAGATGGTTACAGTTTAGAAATAATTTATTTAAAATATGATGTTGCTTTTTTATATATAAGGTGCAAATATTCAGTAATAAAAGATACTTGAATCATTCTGAAGTTGTTTTGGCCTTTTCCACAACCTACTTTAAACAGCTGATCCTGAATGCAGCATGCATAGCTGTAGGAAACATAACCGATCATCAACAATCGGCTCAAAGGCTGTATTTAGGCTCACTGGATGGTCATCAGCTGATTTTTCCTCGATATCTGTGATGATTTCAGATCAATGTCTTCTTTTTAAGGTGAGCTCTGCTTAGGGCTAGCTCTGCTCAATTTGGTTATAGGGAGGAGTCATCTGTTTTTTTTGTTATGTCATCTTTACAGGAATGTTTATTTCTCAATTAGCTCCACTTGTAAATAATCTCCATGTGTTCAGGTATAAAACCAAACTGAATTCATTCAGCTGTGTACCAATCTAAAAGGCTTTTATCAGATATTTTCTCAACAACATGTCACCCGTTAGAGAAAAATATAGAAAATATTCAATTATTTAATCCTAATTAATAATTATGCACTACCTATTATTGTCTGATCGCATTCAAAACTAATAAAATACTCTATAGATATGTTGTGACAACATAAGAAAAGATTCAGTAGGTAAGGGCCCTTGTCACACCTTGACGATTTAGATCAGCGTGTGCCTGTTGGATAAGTGTGGGTATGCTGGAGCACGCCGACATACGGCAAGTACGTTGAGACATATGACAGCGTATGCCATACGTGGGCCCTAAGTTACAGGTGAGATATTTGATCGTTGACTTATGTCAAGTGTAAGTTACTCATAAGTCGTGGTGTCTACCTTATCCATAACATATTAGTAAAGCTTTCATAACTGAAGCGTAACTTATCAAGAACTTATCTCCAACATATAACGTATTTGATATGTTCCAGACAACTGCTGAATGTGTTGCTAACTTACAGCTACTGTATAATAGCGTACTGGCAGTGCTTTGGTATAAAATGGGTTTACAGGAGGAAACCATCAGTATTCCTCCAGACTTCATCCCCATCATAGGGTGATTTTGGGCGGGCGGTAAACAGCAGCTAGGTTAATACCACAATCAAAGACATCTTTTTATGCAGACCGGCTTGCAAAATGATGCTTGCATCATTTCATGAGCATTACTATGCCGTGCATTATGCATAAGTTAGGCTGTCATTGGACATAAGTTCTGGAATCATTATGGATACTTTATGTATATGCTCAAAATTGAAAAAATACATAAAAATTCAGCGTATGCCAGTATTTTAGGAGATTCTGGGATGTCTGGCATAAGCTGTCTAAATCGGC